CTTGATAACGTCAAAACTGATACAAAGATAAACATCCATCAGCCAAAAGAAGCCATGTTTGACCAGGGTAGCATGGAGAGTACTTGCCTATAAAGTCATCAAGACTCAGACATGACTGGATGATTAAAATGACTACTAGCGCTTGGAAAAGCACTCATGGAAGACCTTGGAGAAGATATTCAGATGCCATAGTATCACAGTATATCAGAATACTTGAAGCAGTGATACTTTCCATGTCTATGGAAACAAAAGTTGAATTTTGAAGAAGCAGGATAGGAAGAGAACACTTTCGATATTTAGTGTTGGAAAAGACCAACACCAATGATCAACACCAGCATGGACAGCCAAGAAAGCAAGCAAATGAATGATCAAACCAATCAAGAAGTCTCCCATGAACAGGCTGAAATTATTCCAATTTGTAGCTCTTTGGAGAAGGTTCTAATGCTGGGAAAGGTAGAAGCAAGAGAAGAAGAGGCTGACCAACATCAGAATGGAGGGACTCAGTTACATTTATGATGAATACACTGTTGGATGACTTGAAAAACTAAGTTAAGAACAGACAATCATGGAGAAAATCTATGTGGTCACTAAGTCAGTACCAACTTGGTGGTGGCACATAATTAAAACCTTCAACTTAGAACCGAGCATTAGGTCAGTTTTCTCTACTTCCATGAATACTGAAGGATTCTTTTCTGGAAAATCAGTTCTTACTTGTATAAGCATAGCCTGGCTGCAAAGAAACGCGTTCTAATTTTATTTGCCTAAAGAGATATTTAGCTGCAAGTTCTTCAAGTTATCTGGCAATTACAGACTGCAAAAAGCAGAGGGGAATTTAAAAACTATTTCTGCTGTTGTAAAACAAGGGGTGTTTTGCCATTAAAGTAATAGTTGTCAACTGGTGGTACATGAGACTCAGAAAGAGTGCAGGTAGGTCATTGAAATGTTTGTAAAGTCTTTAATACCATAAATTTTGGGCAAAGTGTTTTGGGTATGAAAATTTTAGACTCCCTGAAAAGCATTTTATGGATGATCACGAGAGCTTCTGGGAATTCCTGAAGTGGCTCTCTGGAAAAATTCATTTTAGTTGTTAATCAGTCACTGGTACAGGAGGAAGGTAAATAAGCTGAACGTGACACTTTTGATTTTGACAGGTAGGGAGTGGTGAAGGAGAGGGAAAATGAGAACACAATGGGATGTAATATTGCGGTGCCTTATTCAGATTCATACTTTTGCCCTTTGGGAGTGGGAGAGACCAATTTTAAATTTCGTGTTAGCACTTTCAAAAGTAGGGCCACATCAGAGGAGGAATTATTATTATAATTATTATTTTTGCAAAATTATAGTAAAGCCAATTAATGTAATTGAAGATTCAGATGGATACCTAAAGGGATGGGGGTGCTATACCCTTTTAATTTTGTGGAAAATATGTATCTCTTAAAACTCACGATGGTGTATAGCCTGTTGTGGTTTTTTTTAAAATAGCTGGAGAGGGAGCTTTCCAGAATTGTTATTATAATAAATGTCATTACTACTGAGCAGGCTCTCCTAGGGAAACCAGTTTTATGGCCTCTAGATGATGGTCAGCACAATGTAGTGCAGATGGAGTGGTATTGTGCCAAAAACAGAAGAATGAATTAAAATTGAGTTTCCAGGCAAGCCGGACCGAAGGGAGTTGACCAAAGCTTGTTGCTGCTTATCTGAAAAGCATAGTTAGAAATTCAAATTCTAAAACAAAATGCTTCTTTTAAACTTTAACATCTGTTGAACACATTCTCTAATTCCTTAGAGTTTTATGTCTGAATTTTGCAACAATCTGTTTTTTTTCCCACTGACTGTGATTTGTGATTGTAACATTTTAAATGTGTGAAATCTTCAGGGATGTTGTGTAATTCTAATCCAAGTAAACTCCTAGAGGCAAAGCAAGACTCCAATATCAAATGGTGATGTGGAGCATTTAAGTTTCTAGTAGCCCTAAAGCAGCCACCACAGCAAACAGTTTGAGAGACAAAACAGGAGAGAGTCTGTCCCTAAAACGTTTAATGTATCTCTTTTAATGAAGCCTCATCCTTTAAACATTAGATTAGGGATTGTGTTATTCAGGGCCTTTTTAATGGTGGCCCTGGAAAAATTTACCACTCCAAATAGGAGGAATGTTACCATGTTGGTTAGTCTTAGTTGCTCTTCAGCATTCATTACTTTCTAACTTGGTATCCTTTCTGCTTGTGTATCTGGGTTAGCTAGAGAAGCTGGTTCTGCACATTACTGTAAACCATGGTTAATTGGTAATCCAAAATTGGTGGTCTTGTATCACACAGTGGGCGACAGGTTAAGCAATCTCATATGGGGTTAGTGTGGAATGTGAACCTTATTTCAAAGGATAATGCTGGTTTGTGGCATTCACAACTCCCCGGGGTTGGAGCATGCTCTCCGGTGCTTTTTAACGTCTATGTAAATCTACCGAAAGGACTTAGCCATCAATTTGTGCACAGTTTACTGCCATAACTGCACTGACTTTAAAAACGTTACCTGATTCAACTGGCTTTTATTGGAGAAGTGCTCCTCTATTGATGTTTTTAGTCCTGTGGGGATTGCCAGGAGTGTATTCAGTTGAGTGAAATAGATTTTAATGTATTTTATATTACATAAAAGTTTAAAGTGTTGCCATTGCTTTTTTTATTCTTTACACTTGTAAGTTCTACTGCTGTCCTATGTCGCCCTTCAGGCAGGTAGCTTAAAAATAAATAAAATAACTTGTCCATTTGCTTATCTATTTTGCTGTTTGTTGAAGGTAAATCAGGCTGTCTTACTGAATTTAGCATGGGGAAAAAGTGATTGCTGAGCAGATCAGCACCTGATGGCCATTGGTTGATTTCTGCAAAGATGTATACAGTCCAAAATGTTCTGTAAACTCCTGAGAAGGAGGAAGAAGTCTGGTTTTTCTCCACCTTTTAAAAGGAGCGATGAGTCAGAATTACTTGGGGTGCTGCTATGTTTCACCTACTGTATATATCAGCAATGAGCAATCCAGAGGTGGATCACTATCTGGAATCCTTTTGGTAATCTTCAGCGCCTGCCAGAACCCCATTTCTGAAATGCAGCAACATATCCTTGAATCTTGAAAGTGATATCTGGTTCCAGCGCCCCCCTTCCCCAAAATTGTGTATGTAATTTCTCATCAAGTTATGTGTTGCATACTAGTTAGGTGTCACCAGAAGAAGAAGGGGGGGATATCCCCCTATAATTGGGAAACCTTAAGAATTCTTCACCTCCTGTGTGAGTAATGCTATGAAGTCATTACACCGAGCTGCTGCCAGCTTCCAGGCTTCAAACATACTAGAAAAACCTGCCTCCCAGCTACCATCCTGATCCATGCCAAGCATGCACACACAGAGTAAAGGGGTCAAAAGTTTCTTAAATGTTACAGAGGTTTTACAAGCAGCAGCAGACACAGCTGTGTGTGCAATTGCACGCACGTGTTGATTCAGTGACATGAACAAGGAAGCTTACCTGCAGAGAGTCTGGATCCAAATCAGGAAACGATGTCCAGGTGCATCATGTTGCTCTCAATTGACCACATGGTGCTGAATTTTTGCACTTGTACAACACGCATTGTGCATTGTTGGCGAGACAACCATTTTGTCTTTTGTTTTTTCATGCTCTTTTTTTTCCTCATGTTTTCTTAATTATTCATGTGTTATATTGTCCTTACGTTGTGAGCCACCCAGGGTTATCTAGAATCAGGCAACGCCAACAACATTGAATAAGTTAAAATTAATTGTTGAATTTCATTTCTACTTTGGGCACATCCTTTGTAAAACTACAGTAGTCCTTGACTTACAGCAGTTTGCTTAGTGAAGTTACAACAGTACTGAAAAAAATGACTTAGGACCATTTTTCACACTTATGACCGTTGCAGTATCTCCATGGTCAAATAAAATTCAGATGCTTGGCAATTGACTCATATTTATGATGGTTGCTGTGTCCCAGGGTGACCTCCTGACGAGCAAAGTCGACAGTCAGTGAATCTGGATTCACTTAACAACCGGGTTAACTAATTTAACAACTGCAGTGATTCACTTAACAAATGTGGCAAGAAAAGTCGTAAAATGGGGCAAAACTTACTTAACAAATTTCTCACTTAGCAACATAAATTTTGGGCTCAATTGTAGTCGTAAGTCGAGGACTACCTGTATATGAATGTTCCTCTTTCTCCTAGCCAATTTTCAGGGGTGAATTTCAGTTTCTGTCTGTCAAGGTAACCTTTCCCCCCATTTTGCCTTTTGATACACCAGGTTTATCCTGGCTTAATGTCTGCCTTGTCAAGAAAGGCAGTGGAGTTCTGTCCTCAAAGTTTTGCGGTTGAAACACTTGGAGCGGTTTCTGTTGGCTCTAAAAATACATTCCATGCAGACTAGAGCTATTTATGTCAGATGGTGCTCCATTCAAAACCCAAGAAAGAAATACTTAGACTCCATTAATTAAAGAAAAGATACCTTTTACTGGAAGTCAAGTCGTAGCAACAAAAGAATCTGAGAAAATGAGCACGTAAATCACATATACAAAGTGATGGCAACGTTCCCACCCCCAATAGGATGAAGAGGGGGCGGGCCTGGGTCTTCCTCTGAACTCCCTCTCCCTTGTTCTACCTCTCCCCTGCTCTGCCCAGCCGGACTTTGCCCTTCCCCAGTTTCTTCCACAGCCAACGGAGCCACACTCCCACTCTCCCTGTCAGCTGCTCGGCCTCCCCCTCGGAATCAGATTCCGACAGGGGCATGACATGAAGGCTGTTTCTTATGAAAAGGGGAAAACGTTTCACTTCAGACCTTGTACTCTTACGCTGTGGTGCCTGAAGGCCCTAGTGCTCCAAGTGGACAGTAGCAGAATATCCCCATTTCAGCTTCTTCAGAGAAAACATGTATACGTTATAAATAAAGCATTTTTAGCATGCCTTGCATAAAGCATATACATAACGATCTTGCACAATATCTTATGCTTTTTAGGCTATGAACATCGTGGTTCCCTTCATGTTTAAATATGCAGTAGACAATCTCAACCAGCTGTCTGGAAATGTTCTGAACCTGAGTGATGCACCCAATACAGTTGCAACCATGGCAACAGCTGTTCTGATTGGATGTAAGTGTGATGCTTTAATCTGCTGACAGGTGCTGACTTTCTTCGGGAAGCTTGGGAACATTGGTGTACATGACCTTTGACGGGGAAGCATCTGGGGTGAACGTTGTTCGCTGGAGTTCCTTCTACTTCGTTATCGTGAAGAATGAACAGGGCTGTGATTCTCCTGAGTGGTCTTATCTCCTGGAACAATAGCCTAGTCTCCAGGCCTGCTTTTGCATTTTTTTTAAAAAAACAACAACAACAATCCCATATATCTGAAGATGAAATCTGTTTAAAAGCGACCTAACTGATAACCTTTGACTTCTCATCCGGGAATCATTCGCGTGGGGTATTAAAAGCGTGCTGAGGAGGAGTAAAGTAAAATTAATTTAAAAATTAAAGCCTTTTTCTCTTCCCCTCCTCCTTTTACCAGATGGCACCTCGCGAGCAGGCGCAGCGTTGTTTAACGAAGCCAGGAATGCCGTCTTTGGGAAAGTGGCCCAGAATTCCATCCGGAGGATAGCCAAAAACGTCTTCCTCCACTTGCACCAGCTGGACCTGGGCTTCCATCTGAATCGGCAAACGGGAGCGCTGTCCAAGGCCATCGACCGAGGCACCCGCGGCATCAGCTTTGTGCTCAGTGCCCTGGTGTTTAATCTGGGGCCCACCTTGTTTGAGGTGGCCCTCGTGAGCGGGATTTTGGTACGTGTCCTTTTCATTCAGTTGCGGCGCCAATCGTTTGTTTGAGATCCACGTCTGATGGCTCTCAGATGTCCACGGAGCTAGGCGTGGCCCATTCCTTGCCTTTCCCAGAATCCTGTTGAGGAAAAGAGGACAAAGAAGGGGTCAGAAAGGCAAAGGAAGGCTGTTGTAGCCATCTAATGCAGCCCCACTTGCCCTTTGCTTCACCTTCACCCCCTTTGAGAGCCCTGGTGACACAATGGTTAGAATCCAGCATTGCAGGCTGACTCTGCCCACTGCCAGCAGTTCGATTCTGACCAGCTCAAGGTTGACTCAGCCTTCCAGCCTTCTGAGGTCGGTAAAATGAGGAGCAAGATTATTGGGGGCAAGAGGCTGATAGCGTAAATCCCCAGGGCAGCTATTGATGCTTTATTATTCTTAAGGAATTGCAAACGTAGAAAAAAAATGGCCCCGCTGGATGTTCATGGCTGTTAATCTATAAAGAGCAGCATCCACTACACACCATCTGACTATGATGCCGATACAGGAGCTGCTGCAGTGAGCTTTACGGAAGGGGCTGCTGCTGTTCCTTGTGCTTGGCTTGCCCCAATTTTGCAAAAGCCTCCTTTCTGATGCTTTGCATAGCCAGCTTCCCTACACGGCTGAATGCTCCGTGTTTACTGTATTGTGACAGGAGGACTCTAACAGGTAGAGGTGGTCCTTGCTTAGTGACCGTTATCAGAAAGGATACTTTATGCCCCGTAAAGCATTTCTGACGATTGTACGTTTCCTCCCCCTCCCCCAATGCATGACTACATTTCAGATGCTGGGCAACTGGCTCACATTTATACACGTTTGCAGCATCTCGTGGTCCCATGTCCATGATTTCCAACATCCTTTCCAGAGAAAACAGTAAAAAAAAAATGCCCATTGGATAATGCTGCATTTGCTTAACATCCATGTTGTTCACTTAATGACCAATCCTTTGGTGATCCCTTAAGTACTTGATCCAATGTTGGTCCTAAATTGGGGACCACCTGCGTAATATCTCCCCACTTGTGGGTAGCCTCTGCTTCTCAGTAAACGCAGCACATAAGCTAAGAGAGAGCAATGCTCACAGATTATTGCCGGGAAGGCTGGCTGTCAGAATGCTTACAATGGCCCAGATGCTCCTTTTCTATTCCATGCTTTCCATCTGGTGTTCTCAATATTCCACAGCCTTTGAACCAGGTTGACGTTTAAGAGCGCACACATAATCCTTCCCCCTTCCTTAAATTAGTCAGACTTTCAAGCAAGAGATCCATAAGCGTTGTGCCAAATCTCAAAAGAGGAATATAAAGACAGGCTATGAAACCCATCCCAAAGTCAAACAGTGGCGGCTTTTGGAGTGAATGATGCCTGGTATCTTTCATTTAAATGGGTGGGGTTTGCATTGTACCAAGAAAAGGAAATAAACCCTATTCTAATGGGAGCTTAAAAGTGTGAAATCTCTCACAGCTGCTTCTCCAGACACCAAATGCCAAAGACTCACACGTGACAGAGTAATAAGTATCATTTGGGGACTGGGTTCTTAACCTTGGCAGCTTGAAGATGTGTGAACTTCAACTCCCAGAATTCCCTAGCCAGCTACGCTGTCTGAGGAATGTTGGGAGTTGGAGTCCACACATCTTCCAAGTTGCTAGGGTTGAGAAACACTGGCCTAAAGGAAAAGAAATAGAGGCTTTAGGGTGCTTTGGATTTGTTTCCTGATCTTGCTGCTGAGGGTAAAATGTGCCCAGAAGCTCCCATTCAGGTCATGCAAATATGCCGGGTTGGACTATCCCAAAACCTTTCAACAGAATAGCAATTATTTCCTTGGAAACCTGGGATCTTTCTACGAGCATAAAGTATCATCATACGATGGGGCCTTATGCAGAGTTACGGCAGTGCCTTACCTGGCTGCAGCTGCTTCAGCTCTCAAAAGTGTTGGGGTTTTGGGAATGAAAGACCCATCCGGATTGAGTGATTCTTTAAGAATTATGACAAGAAAGAAGAACTGTAATGCTAAACTGTTATACGACCACCAGTCCATATTGGATATGGAGATGATAGTTAGTGAAAGAGGAACTATTGATAAAACTGTTCTGGAATAGACTTTGTACCATACAGGATCAACCTTGGTGGTGCAGTTGTTAGAATGCGGTATTGCAGGCTAATTCTGCTGACTGCCGACTGCCAATAGTTCAAGTCTCACCAGCTCAACATTGAGCCTTCCATCCTTCCAAGGTTGCTAAAATGAGGACCCAGGTTGTTGGGGGCAAGAGAGGGCTGTAGAAGCACTGTGAAGCGGTATCTAAGTGCTATTGCTATTAGCTCCCAGAACTCTTTTTTTTCCTACTCTATATTCAGAATGGACTGTGATTAATTAATTTATGTATGTGTTTGTATTTCGAGAGTGCGCATCAGAATTTTCATTTTTAATGTGTGGCAGTGTGTACAAAGAAAAAGTTGACAATAAAGGTTATCTTATCTTAATCGGAATCATCGCAGTTTATTTCGTGACAAATCTGGTAATCTGCCCATCTTTTCCTTGAATCAGAGCTTCTGGGTTCCATTGATTACTTCCATTCATCTCTCTACGCGCTTCTTGTGTGTAAAGAGTCTTTCCCTTCTCCATTGTAAGTGCAGTAGCTCAAGAGCACAAGTTGAGTGTTTGTATCTAAGAGTCTGCGGCCTTGTGGAGCTGCTCCTAAGTGTACATGGTGTCAAGGAGCTAAACTCCCTTTACCATAATCTTTCCACTTCACTTCTGTTTGGCATGTAGGCAGTTATTATTGTTGCCTCTTTTATGTATGTCTTGTCCAGAGAGCTATCTGTACATTGATGTTCTAATTAAAATGATTTGAATCCTTTTCCCCCCACCCCTCTCTCTCTCTTCCCTGCAGTATTATAAATGTGGTGGACATTTCGCACTCGTAACCTTGGGGACATTAGGAGCATACACGGCATTCACAATAGGACTTACGCAGTGGAGGTAAGACAGTTCTGCTGTTGTCAGGAACTCTCTGGTGAGATTTGACGGCCTGGATGGGAACGACTGTCTCTGCCAACCTTTTGTCTTGCAGGACTAAATTTAGGATCGAAATGAACAAAGCGGATAACGATGCAGGGAACGCTGCCATTGACTCCCTGCTGAATTATGAAACTGTGAAGGTAAAGCCATTCACATGTCTAACTTTTCATGTTGTCGCTCCTGGGGTAGCCCTTGTTAACAATGCCTGTCTTTTTGTACCCTTTACTCAAAAAGAAGATCTTTTTTTTTTAATTCCTTTCTGTTAGGAATAATGACTGAAAGGATCCCTCTTATGGCCTAAATAGATAAACAAATTTTCACCTACTTTGGGCCATAAGCTGTTGATTACCTGTATGTAATATAAGAAGGCTGCTTCTCCTTTCATGCTTTCCCTCCTGATTTGCTTCTTAAAGGAGCCAGATGCTTCTTCTTTCACTGAAAAGTCTGCCTAAGCGTGTTTGACCAGCTGTGTGGCGGTTTATTAATTCCTGTTTAACTGAAAGCAGAAATGCGAGCTCAGAACCAAAACCACAGTGAGCAGCACAGTTGAAAGGCTAGCTAATGTGGATGGCCTGAATAAACGTAAGGTTAATGTCAATTTTAAAAAATCACTATATCAAAAATATGGAGAATATGGAGTAGTATAAAGCTAGATTCTACCCAAAAATGCTTTTCTTGGTTTCAGCAGAAGCAGCATTTTATAGGAAAGAAACAGCAGGTAAAGAAAAATGGTTAGTTAACCTATTGAGAGTTGTTAGAACAAAAACATGGAGAAAATATAAGATGAAACCAAATGAACAATTGGCTCCAGGGGGATTTAGTTTTCAAGGTGTTTCATATGCAGAGCTCAGAGAAAGAATCAAGGTAGATAACAGGGCATTTGGAAGAGCAACAAAAGACAGAATTTGAAGTTGAATTATGTATAAATGGCAGACATGTAATTGTTAAAATGAATGAACTCTTACTGATATTTGAAACGTTGGATGAACAAATGAAATGGTAAAATGGGCTAAGAATTTCAAATAGAATATTGTTGGGATAGTGAGGAAACATGGAAAGGGTTGAAATTTTCATTTGCTAAAAGAACAATTCTACAAAATGATGTATTGTTGGTATATGATTCCAGAAGAATTAGCCAGTCACTCTCTCTCAGCCTTAGGAAGAAGGCAAGCCATTTTAAAAAAAATCTTGCCTTCCCCACTCCTGCAGGAAACTTTTTCACACCAGATAGATGGCAGGATTTATTGGGCAGATACGTGGCGTTTCTTAGTTTATTCTTATTTGACAAGGATTTCAAAAGCTTACAACTCAATTTGCTACGCAGGCTGGAACAATATCATTAATGTTTCCTGGGTGCAGCTGTAAAAGTAGAATTGCCCAAATCTGAATCCATACTCATCTGGAAAACAGAAGGGTAATTCTGGGACTGTCAGCTTTAACCCCACCCAATACCTGTTGTCTTGCCTGGCTCTTTAACCACTGAGGATGAGCCATGGATCAGTGTT